AAACAGTCTCTTTTCAGATGCCTTTATATATCAAGGTGCCAGGTTTAAAACTTTGGTCTTGCACTATAATAACGGCTGACTCAAAATTCATTAGAGGTCTAAGAATTACTGTTTGTTTTTAAATAGCTTTAAACAGGGTTTATCGGATGCTCAATGCGTGCTGTTTTATGGCACAATGTAAATTAAAAACAAGGCTTTCAAAATGGGAAAATGAAATTTTCTGCTCTAATTACCAGGAGATAGTAAGAGAGGCCATGAGCTGGTTGGCTGCACAGGAGAAGAAGTTAGCAAAGTTGCTGATCGACACAGAGAATGAAACATATTATCAGAAGTACAAAGTAAGTTTAATTTCATATTTAACTGCTTCTGTGCAAAGAAGATACCTTTCTGGGAACATTTTTGATATTTTTTTCATCTTCATTGCCTAAAGTGAAGCATTAAATAACCTTTTAAACAAGCTGGAAATCTGACAATGCATTTGGTAAGTGCCCTTGTATGATTGAGGGGAGGGTAGGATAAAATTCTTATGGTTAGGAAAATGGTATATGCTGCTTGGTTTCTGAACAGAGAAAGGGGTTTTTTTGGAGAGAGTAGATTAGTGTCTTTTAATTAATTGACACAGTTGAGGACTTGGACAAAATTCAATACATAGGCCCTTTACAGGGTTACCGTCACCATTTCTGTGATAGTAATAACAGTAGGTTTTACCCACCTAACATTAGGTAGTAGTTGAAATGTTTGCTGTAAGTTGTGCTGAAGTAAAATTTCCTTTAGTTTATGTTGTAGCCAGAGTTTGTAATAAAATGGCCCATGGAGGACAGTGAGGGAGGGAATTTTCCCCTTCTCTTGGTGGGAGGGGAGAACCATGTCTTGACTGCATTGACATTATATTAAATACAGATTTTGCTAGTGAATGGCACCTATAATTTCAGACACAAATACTGCCTGGAGACAAGTATGCCTCTTTCCTTCCATCTTGCCTTCCCATGCTTCACACCCTTTGAAGTTAATGGAAGTCATACCAACCTGTTCAAAGGCAGTACTTGGCTCCATGAGCTTCTATCTGAAGTCTTCTTCCATGAATTAATTGTTCTTTTTATCCCTAGGAAATGATATCATTTATGGAAGCATTTGACCAAGGGAAAAAACCCTTTCTGCCTGTGTTGTCATCAAAAAGAAGTGAAGCTGATCTGAGTGAAGGCCAGCAGCAGATAATAGAAGAGTGGGAGAAACTGATCTCTCAGGTCAGAGGCATTTTTAGCTCCCTTGTTTCCAGCATGAGCATGTTTGATGAAGAAGCCTAAGTCTACCCCAGGAAACTCGCACAGGGAGAAATGGGGAGGTGATACTTTATTTGGATTGGTAAAAGAGGTATTGACCCTGAACCTGAAGTCCAGACAAACTGAGCGGTGTACAGTGCCTGAGAGGAGGCAGAAGGTGACTTTGTATTACCCTTCTGAATCCTGAGCCTCAGGACTGTGAAACCGCTGTAAAAAATGGCCTGTACCTGATTATCTTTGAGCACTATTCTCATCAAAGTTTTTGGCCTATTTATGCTTTAAAGGTTCTTTTGGGACATAATTATGGCTCAAATAATGATGCAGCTGGCAAAAGTGTGTTAATATATTCTTCCCATGGCATGGATAGTGATATAGTGAAATCTGGTTGGTCAGTGCTTTGCAGTGACTTTGACTGTGTCATCTCTCTCTGCCATGAGTGGGGATGTAGTGGGCCTTGCTGCTAATTGCTCTTCATGGAATGATGTTCCCCTCTCAGGCCCATGATGAAGGCTGTCCAGTGCATCCCTGTTTTGCCTCTATTCTGCAACTAGTTTACTGTAAATTTCCCTGTTGCTGGGCCTTGAGGTGGTCACCAGCCAAGGATAGCAACTGCCAAATTTTCTGTTGTATTTACAGAGAATACCAGCTGGAGAGCAAACCTGGGTCTCAGGTAAACACAGCTGATTAGCAGCTGGTTTCATTGGAAGCTCCCTTTTCTCAGTGCTGACAGGTGTTTATTTGTTTCGTTTTTCCCCCCCCACCGCCACCCCGGAATGTTTTGAGCATCAGTTTATGGAGTTTATAACAGTATCTTAGGGATGAGAAAGACAATAGTAGTGAGAAATTTAATCATTTGGTTTTCTTTTTAAGATTAATGAATGGAAAGTGAAGCTAGACCAGATGTTGCCCTCCCCTCTGGATAGCATTGAGGCTTGGCTTCAGGAAGTAGAACATCTGGAGGCAGAAGATTTGCCTGATTTACAGGACCCATTTAAAGCAATGTTTGTCTTCAGAGAAATCATTGTAATATTTAAGGTATGCTGATCACAACGGAACATTCTGCTGCAGTCTGACCTAGCAAAGCACTTGTTATGGAATTGCTATTTGACATTTTAGGAAGTGGTGTGTATATGTTTATCTTCTGAAGCTTAAAAGCTCTTCTGAGCATACCTTTGAACAATGATGGATGTAATGAAATAACTGCATAAGTCTTTAAGGAAGGTTTTTGACTTCACTGGGGTGAAATTAAATTTTACTACTATCTGAATGAGTAAACTATGGTATTCTTTTTTATGTGGTTCCTGCAACTCATTTGTTTGTTAGGTAGTAACACAGGGTAATTGCATCCTTATCTTTAAATCTATGCTTAATACATACCTGTTCAGAAAAGCACTTGGGCTCAGGGTTACATTCCAGCGAGTTCACGAAGTTTGTGTGTTAAGAGTTAAGTATTTGCTGAATCACTCTGTAATTCCATTCAAAGTAATAGGAGGTATTTTGATAACCATACAGGTGATCTATTCTTATCTTGAAATCATTACACTGATAATAGTTTGAATGTCCTTTTGAGTTTGAAAAATTAGGAAGGAGGAGATGTGTTGGTGCCTGGTTGATCATCACAGTGCTGTACTTGGTTTTCTTATGAACGGGGGGAAGTTGGATGTTTTTGTGACATGTCATTAAAGAGAATTTGAGAGAATGGGAAATAGAGGTTCTTGTGAGTGGCTTGATAACACCACCTCATTGTACTATTGCTAGTCAGTTCCTGATATGAGAGATGTTTTTCAACTGGTAACAGGATCGCCAGACTTCAGCCGTTTTTTCTATGATTTTTGTTGTTCAGCCTAAGTAGTTCTGGCATTTCTAAGAATGAGATAGAGATATCATTGTTTTAGGGGTATCTTCTTTCCCATTGAACATGTAGATAAAATCATTAAGTACCTTAAGAACAAACCTAAGATACTTAATACTGTCAAACCCACTTTTCCTGATGGGAAGACATTCTGCTGAGAATTTTCCCCCTCTCCTCCCACACCTTTCCTCTAGTCAGGTCTTTTAGTATGTCTCATGTAGGGATCTTGTTGCCAAAGTGGTTCCTTATAATGGAAACTTTACTTTCTGGTAAGATCAATGAAATTACCCACCAATGTTGTCCTGGGTTCAGCTACAGCAGTC